TGGAGTGGGCTCAGGTGACCTTACCTGGCAGGGGCTCTGGGGTGCTGGTGTCCAGGCTGGTGGCTGAGCTGCTGCTGCTGAGCTTCTTGCTGAAGAGAGGAGTGGTGGGAACGGCAACAGTGCTGACTGCAGCTGCAAGAAACCCACGGTGCCCATGACTGAAAATGCCTTGTGAAAATGCTCAGCCACACTTTGACCCTTTATCCCTCAGCCCCCAAATAGAGGGAGGGGAAAATCTTGAATTATCCTGAAATACCTGGGCGAGACACCAGCTGGGCACCCTCTGCAGCTGGCACTGTGAAATCAGCCTCCCAGATCGGAGAGTTCTCACCGTAGATCTCCTCCTCCAGCATGGAGAGGAACCTGGCAGGGAGTGGCACATCAGCATGCCAAAGGAGGAGTGCCCTCCAGCAGCCATCTCCACATCGGGCACCTACTTGGGGAAGTGGGTGAGGATCAGTGTCCGCTTCTCTGGCACCAGCTTGTCCTTCTCCACGCGGAATTTCTCCAGCAGCTGCCGGCGCGTCACCGTGAAGATGGACTTGAGGAGGCTGCGCCCAAACACGTGCGTGGTCTCATAGCGGGGCAGGCTGTCACAGCTCTGTGGCACATGGCAGTAGCACAGCCACCTGTGGGACACAAAGGGGCTCTGGAGACAGGGCTGGAACCATATTGGAACCCGGGAAATCCCTCTGGCTGCCCTGGAGGACTCGAGCCCCTGCCCAGGGGGCTCAGAGACCTTGGCACAGAGCCCAAGACCCCTGTGCCTCTGATTTAGCCCTTGGTAAAAACAATTACCAACCTTCTATGAGGATTTACAGGCCACAAAAGTTTAAGTGGAATGATAGTGAATTGATCACAGGGTGAAAAATAGATTTTTTTGGGGGGTTTTAGAATAGGGGTTCAAGGGGCAAGACGGAGGAATCTGGGCATGTACAGCCTTTCTCCTTCTTCTTGGCCTCCATCTTCTGCTGTGATGGTGGCACTTTTGGATTGGTTTAGAGTAGAAGCTCACTGTCTAACATAGGTGATAGGTATTGGAAAGTAATTGTAAATATTGTACATGTAGTTTTTAGTATAAAAAGATAACACCACCCCAGGGAGGCAGAGTGCCTCTGACTGTCTTGCTGAGTGGACCTCAGCAGGTCAGGAGAAAGAATTTTATAGATAAGATACAATAATCAACCTTGAGACCGAGAAATGAAGAGTTCTGACTCCTTCTTTGACTGCCAGGCTGGGAAAAGAGACTTTTTAATACATCTTAGGGTCCCTCTGACCAGCTAGAGAGAACCAGAGACCCCAGAGCAACCATACCCCTCCTGGGACAATATTGCTGGGAGCAGGCTGGATGAAGGCACTGCTGACATTTAGAAGCATTGGCACCATTAGGTGCCTGCTCTCCTAGTGACTGACAGCCTGGGAGAGCCCAGGGTGGCTGGCTCAGAGGCCCCCTGCCCTCCTCACCTGGTGTAGTTGACCTTGTAGGTGGCCACGTCGTCATTCTGGGAGCGCTGACGGAACTGGGACGGCGTCTCCAGCTTCCAGTAGTTGAGGCACAGCAGGAACATCTTGGAGAGCTCATACATGGTCTGGCGCTCCTTGGGTGGCAAGTGGCTGAATTTGTACTGCACGAAATTCAGGACTCCCTGGGGAGAGGAGGGCACAGTGGGAGGAGCTGCTCTGGGCTCTTCCATGCTGCCTCCCAGAGAGTGAGGGGACCGTGCAAGAGCAGCAGAACACAGGACAAGCCATCAGAGCAGTGCACCAGCCTGCCAGCAGCCTCACCTGCTCAATGTTTGGTTTCTCAAAGGGAGGGCTCCCCAGGGACCCCTCGACCACAGGCTGGCTCATCTGCAAGATGCACTTCCGCAGCAGCTACAAAGACACCAAGAGACATGAACTGGATATTCCAGGAATGGTGGAAGTGGCTGAATGCTGCCATGGGGCTGCTCCAATTTCTACAGCCAGGAAGGCACCGGTGCTGCCCTTGGAGCACACCCATTCATCCAATAGAACTGCCCCCCATGGGAATTCCAGGCCAGGAGAGCAGTCACTCCAGAAGAGAGTCAGCATTCCAGGTCTCTGGGCTGTGGGATGGTTCACAGCTTTAGCACCAGCTCCAACAGAGCACAAACAGCAGGACAGCAACCCCCAGAATGACCAGAAACTCTGCACAAGTCCCCCCAGGAGTGGGGCAGTGAGACCTGCCCAGCCCCAGACTCACCTTGAACAGGTAGAAATACACCTGCTTGGTGTCTGTGTCCTCCTCCTTGTGCACTGACATGAAGAGGTTCTCCACATCCACCACCATGCCCAGCAGACGGTTGATCTCCTCCTCTGAGACGTTCTCCAGGTGGGACACGTGGTCAGCTGTGCCAGGGAGAAAGCCAAGGGATCAGCACCACAAAGAGAAAGCCAAGGGATCAGCACCACAAAGAGAAAGCCAAGGGATCAGCACCACAAAAAGAAAGCCAAGGGATCAGCACCACAAAGAGAGAGCCAAGGGATCAGCACCACAAAGAGAAAGCCAAGGGATCAGCACCACAAAGAGAAAGCCAAGGGATCAGCACCACAAAGAGAAAGCCAAGGGATCAGCACCACAAAGAGAAAGCCAAGGGATCAGCACCACAAAGAGAAAGCCAAGGGATCAGCACCACAAAGAGAAAGCCAAGGGATCAGCACCACAAAGAGAAAGCCAAGGATCAGCACCACAGTATAGGAATGTGCTTCTTGTTGATGGAGTGACAAAACTATCTTTTGTCTTTTTAAAAAGGAAATAAGCTTAGAAGTGCTTCTCTTCAATCAAGTGAAAAGACACCTTATAGGACTCCACCTCAAATTTAAGGATAGCTAATTGGACAGGAGCCAAAAAGTTTTGCTTGGGCAATTTACTAGAAAAAGAAGAGAACAAAGAAACTAATTGCTTTTGTGAAGTGTTTTACTAAGGGCAGGAGAGCTTTCTGCGCTTAGTTTTTCTCTGTAAAGAGTTTGTTATTTTGCCTTTTATTAAAACCTTTTTGTTTCCAACACTGCAACAGAAGCCATCCTGCTGATTTTATGCCTTCTAAGGTAGCTGAGCTATCTTGGGTGTGAAAAAGACCTCCAAAAGCTTATGAGACCTGGCTCAAAGAAGCTCCTATTTCACCACAGTGAGAACAAGGGATCAGCACCCCTGGCCCTGCCCAGGGGGTGCCACAGGAGTTACCCAGAGCATGGCCACAGCTCCGGCAGGGTTCGCTCAGGTTGGTCACTGGCTGCTGCAGGTCCATTCGAGGGGCTGTGGGGGGGTTGGGGTTCTTCCAGCCATTGCACTTGCAGGCATCGTTGGCCTGGGAAGAGGAGAGGGACAGCAGTGGTTGTTGCAGTGGCTGCCACCTTCTGTGGCCAAAGATTTCCCTAGCTCCCATCTACCCCTTTTCACCCTGCCCAGCTTTTCTCAGCCCCCACCACCCCAATACTCCCCCGTGCAGCCCCAGGACTCGGCAGCCCCTGCTCAGTGACATCCCTACACCTCCCTTGGGTAACTCAGCACCCTCTTCCAGCACCCCCTGCCCAGCACCCCCGTCCTGCACCCCATGTATATCCCAATCCCGCATCCTTTGTCCATTTATTCCTTCCACTCACCCTCCTGCATCCCTAAATTCCCCTCCCACACCCATACCCGTCCTTGCCACCCCCTCCTGCATCCCCCACTCGGGTCAGCATCCTCATCCTTCACCCCCCACCCATGCACAGCACTGAACCCCCACTCCCGCATCCCCTGCACCCCCACCATGCCCGTCCTTGCATCCCTCACTCGTGCACAGCCTCGAACCCCCCCTCCTGCCCTCCGTGCCCTCCCGGTGCCGCCGTCCCCACCTTACAAGCCGAGAACACCCCCAGCTTCTCCAGCTTCTTCCCGCGGGGGAACCCCCGCACCTGCGCCTTGCGCTGGCTCGCCCGCTGCTGCTGGCTCAGCCCGGGCCGTGCCGGGTCGCTGGATCCCGCTCCTCCAGCCGTTCCCCCGCTCGCCCCCGCTGTGGCCGCCGTTGCTGTGGCCGGGCCCGGCGGGGGCCGCCCGGGCTGCGCGGCCTCCGGCTCCGCCATGCCGGGCCCGGCGTGCGCCCCGCGCGCACTGCGCCTGCGCGCCGGGAGCGCAGGGAACGCCGGGAGTTGTAGTTCGCGGCGGCGGCCGCGGGGGAGGCGGCGCCGCTGCTCCCGGGACGGCGCTCCCGGGGCCGGTTCACGTCACCCGCTGCCCCAAACGGGAGCAGAGCTCCCACTCGGCACTGCGGGTGGCGTGAACCGCCCAGAGAGGATCGAGGCCCGGTCATGACGACCCACCGCGACAGCCCCTCACGGGACGATGCCGAGCCGTCGGTACCCAGCGGAGCGCTCGCACCCCTCCGGTAGCCGGTAGCGCTCCGCTGCCTCCCGCAAATATGGAGCGTGGCCACGCCCTGTTCTCCAAACGCGGTGTGTGACCCGCCCTCCGCCTGCTCGCAGCCGGCTTGGGCGGCCGGTGCGGAGCGTGGCCGCGCCTCCTGCCCGGTACCGGCGAACCGGCTCCGCCAGCAGGGCCGTTTATGAGAGACCGCGCCCCTTTCCCCGCGGGGGAAGCGGATTAGCGGCGGGCTGGTGGGCGGAGCTGCGGGAACAACCTGGAATGTGCCAGCACTGCCGGCGGGGCAGGCGCGGGATTGTTCCAGCAGCATCCCGAAGATGGGAATCACCGGTCCCAATGCTGCCCAGGGGGATGCTCAGGACCTGCCGGGGATTCTCGGTGCTGCTCATGGCCTGGAGACCCTCGCACATCCTCCTCTGCCAGGGCAGAGCTGGGCAGAGGTGCCAGGGCCGTGCCCGGTGCCAGCACAGCCCCGTTCCCCTGGCAGAGGTGCCAGGGCCGTGCCCGGTGCCAGCACAGCCCCGTTCCCCACCCTGCCACCGTGCTGCGTGGGAACCGGCAGGAGCACTGCAAAGCACAGGGCTGGGCAAGACCAGAAACACCGAAACCACGCAAATAAAAGTTAGGAATATTTATTACATATCAAAAAAAGCCACATGTTTCGGGCAGACACCACGCCCCGGGCCATGGCGCGGTCCCGCTCTGCGGCCAGCAGCTGCCCCCGTTGTCGCCAGGCTCAGCCTGGTCCCCGTCGCTCCTCTTCACGCCTTGGCCCGCTCGGCTCCCTCCTCAGCGCTGCCAGCTTGCTGTGCCACCGCCGGCCCCATCTGGATGGGCACATTCCTCTCGGGAGCGGCCGGCAGTGCCAGCTTGGGGGCCTCGATGCGGAGCTGCCCGTCCTTGGACAGGGAGCAGGTCAGCGCCTCGGCGTCCACCTCCTCGGGCACGTCCCACTCCCGCTTCAGCACCTCGTACTTGTAGGAGAAGGAGCCCTTCTCGTCCGTGCTCTGCGTCTCCTTCTGCCCCACCAGCACCACCTTCCTGCCCACCACCTTCACCGACAGCTGCTCGGGGGCAAAGTCCTTCACGTCCTGGCACACAGAGAAGCCGTCCCCGGAGCTCTGGGGCAGCGCTGCGCTGGTGCTGGAGGCGATGCCGAGCCGGCCGGGGCTGCTCCCGCTGCTCAGGTACTGCTCCACGCTGCTCATGAACTCCCGAGCCCTCTCCATCTCCAGCCGCATCTCCCGCTCCAGCTCGGCGAAAAGGGTGCCTGGATGTGGCCAGAGGGTGCGGACGGGTCCCAGCCACGGGAACAGTGAGCTGGACATGGGCGGCATAAAGTGCAGGCGGCAAAGCATCTCTGCTCCGAGCGAGGAGTGCTCCTGGCTGTGCTGCTGCTGCTGCTGCTCGGTGCAGTGGCTGGAGCCGTGCTGGGCTGGGGAAGGGGAGCAGCGGGTTTTATTCTCCCCTGCCCAGGGGTGTGTCCCTTCCAGAATGCTCTCTCCCCCCACGCAGCCTCCTGGAGCCATCGCCTATTTTTGAGAGGCTGATTATCCACCAGCCAAAATAGCAGCGCCTGTTTCTGGGGACAGGTCACATGCCACAAATAGGGAGCCGCAGTCACCGCCGTGAGCTCAGGTTTCTGCAGAGCCATCGTGATGCAGCAGGGCCCGTGGGGCCATGGCCGGGGGGCTACAGAGCCCTTCCCTGGCCCCCCTGCCAGGGGCTAGGTGGAGGAAGGCTCCACTGTGCCAGGAGCTCATCACTCCTGCCAGTACAGGAACTAATCCCACCCCTGTACATGTCCCATCTGCTGCCAGGCACCTCCGTCACTTTCTGGGACCCCTCTCCCTGCTGGGCACCCCCATCCTGTCCTGACCCCTCAGCACCCAACTGTGCACCCCACCTGGGCATGGGGCTGACCCCTCAGCATCCAACTGTGCACCCCACCTGGGCATGGGGCTGACCCCTAAACACCTCACTGTGCACCCCACCTGGGCATGGGGCTGACCCCTAAACACCCAACTGTGCACCCCACCTGGGCATGGGGCTGACCCCTAAACACCTCACTGTGCACCCCACCTGGGCATGGGGACATGGGCTGACTTCTGGTCTCACCTGAGGGGACCCACCTGGGCACAGATGGGGGGAAATGGAACACAGGGGAGGGTGGGGGGAGGCAGGGAGGAGACGAGCCCAGACGCACTCCGTGCCTGGGAAATGCAAAGGGCACAGATTTTTGGCAAGGGTGGCTCAGGCATCCCGCTCGGAGGCTGAGGTGATGCTGCTAATTATAAGCCAGGAGAGCAAAGCTGTAAGAGTCAGGGCGAAGGTATGCCGGGCACGACGTCAGCCCTGCCTCTCCTCACGGATGAGTAACAAGAATGAGCTGGAACGGGCTGGAAAGAGCTGAGCTTTTCTCCCGAGGCTGACGTAATGTGCGGGACAATGCCACGCCTCCAGGGAATCGGGTATAAAAACCTCCGGCGGCAGCAGCGAGGCAGAACGCTTCCAGATCACTGGAAAGAGAACAGCAGCAGCAGCAGCAACAACAACAGCAGCAGCAGCAGCGATGCTTTGCCGGATGCACCTCGCACCCTTCGCCTCCAGCTCCCTGGCCAGCCGGCTGGGCACAGTGAGGACCCTGTGGCCGCACGCAGAGACCATCTTCACCGAACTGCAGCAGGAGATGGAGAAAGCTCGGGAGTTCATGAGCAGCTTCGAGCAGCTCCTGAGCAACCACGGAGCCATGGCCATGGAGCAGAGCCCGAGCAGCAGCGTGAGCCTGAGCCAGAGCTCCGGGGACGGCTTCTCTGTGTGCCAGGACGTGAAGAACTTCGCTCCCGAGGAGCTGTCGGTGAAGGTGGTGGGCAGGAAGGTGGTGCTGGTGGGGCAGAAGGAGACTCAGAACGTCGATGAGAAGGGCTCCTTCTCCTACAAGTACGAGGTGCTGAAGCGGGAGTGGGACGTGCCCGAGGAGGTGGACGCCGAGGCGCTGACCTGCTCCCTGTCCAAGGACGGGCAGCTCCGCATCGAGGCCCCCAAGCTGGCACTGCCAGCTGCTCCTGAGAGGAGTGTGCCCATCCAGGTCAGCCCTGCTGCCCCACAGACCGGACCAGCTTCTGAGAACGGAGCCACCAAAGCCCAGGTGTGAGAGGATGGGACCCAATGGCCACGGCAGGACCGGAGCAGACAGGAGCAAGTCTCGGGTTTAAGCCCAGACAAGCTTCATCAGCAATGATGCCATTTTTTCACTAAACTGGAATGTTTTTGTAACCAATAAAAATACTTTTGCATTGAATCTTCTTTTGTGTTCTCTGGGCGTTGATTAATGGGGAGGCTGCACCCTGCTCTTGGTGCCAGAGGAATGGGACGCACAGGGAGGGAAGAAGCTCTCTTGCTTCTCAGGGCAGCACCAAATGGGGTCAGACAGCAGACCCAGAGGGTTCCGTGAGGGAGGGGAGAGGATCTGGGAGGAAGGGCAGTCCCACTCACCTGTACAGGAGCAGCAGGGGTGCCTCACCCCTTCCTCACGCTGCTGCCAGCATCATCTCCAGCTCCACAACCCCAGCCAATACCCATCCCCACACAACAGGGAGGGAACCGCATCGGGCTGCCTGCCTGGGTGTGGTGTGAGACTGCTGTAGCCACACTTTCCCCTTCCCTTGGCAAGGGGCTGCTGGAGTCCACCCTGAGCTCCCAGGAGCGGGGAGGGAGAAGCCCAACCCCGGGTGCGGCGCGTAACCACCACAAACACCCTGCTCAGGCCCGGGCAGGCAGCAGCTGTGTGGGCAGGCAGCAGGTATGCAGGCAGGAACGCCTGTTTGTGCTAAAGCACCCTGAGATCACACACACCAGGAACACCAGCAGGTCCCCAGCCTCGTTACTGAGCCCCTGAGCACCTGTTGCAAGCAGCAACACCCTCCTTAGGGTACCACAGGTGCCTTCACAGAGACTCCAAGTCTAGGAGGAAAGCAGGCAGAGGAGCCAGCAGATGGCAACAGCACCGCACGCAGTGTCCACTGAATGGTTCTGAGTGGCATCAGGGAAGCTCCTCTCCAAACTGGTCCAGCTCTGGCTGCCTGGGGAAACCAGCAGCATCAGCCCACCCCACACAGCAAGCACTGGGTGGTCCCACAGAGATCCTGAGCACCTCCAGCAGCTAAGCAGGGCAGGCACAAACAGCACCACACAAAGGAGCCCACACCCCACAGGCAGCCCAGGCTCCAGCATGATCCCAGGCACTCCATCCCCAAATCACTTCAGACCCTTCCCACTTCCAGGATTTTAAGGAAATCCAGCATGAGGAAGAGGCACTGAGACCTTGGATAGCAGATGAAGGGCACACAAGCCAAGGCTGTTCATACAACTCTACTCACAGGCTCTGTGACCCAGCCCCTCAGCTGAGGGGGGCAGTGGGTTCCAAATGCTGCACATCTCCATCCTCAGCCTCTCCTGAGCACAAATGGTGCTGCTGGCAGCACAGCTGGTAGGGATGGAGCTGCAAGGGGCTGCTCCTTCTTCCACACTGACTCCAGGTCCCAGGGTGTTGGGGTCTCATAGTCCTTGCAGCAGTGACAGGAGAGCAGCATCTTCCCAGGCCATTGTGCTCCAGGGACAGGCATTGTGTTCATGAATTCTGGAGCACCATCCCAAGCCTGTCCCACTGCAGAGCAGAGCTCCTCCACACACTGTTCCCCCACCCCTTCCCATCTTGCATTGTAGAGTTTCCCCAGAAGTATCAAGCAAGGAATAATTCCCACAATTTCCCTCAAGCTTCCTTGAGCACACTGGAGCCAAGTGAACAGCAGCAGCATCACTGGAGCAGCCACACAGCCCAAGCTCAGGAGCCCCATTTCTCCCTCCTCAGGAAGGAAGGAAGGGCCCCATTTCCCTACCAAGATGTGGGACATACCAGGAGAAGCCCAGCACAGCTCAGCTTCCACCAAGAACTGTTGTGCTCAGGTCCAGTCCCTGCTGCATTAAGAAACATGAACATTGTTGTTATGATAGGTTTATAAAAATTTTGTTTTAATCACACAAAACTGAAGTTTGTGATGAAGACTAAGTCAACAGTTCCTCTTAAATACCAGGATGCATAAGACACTGCATTAGGCACTAGGCAGCAGCCAACATCAGTTAGAGTCTGGCAACAGAAGCCATTTAATACCTCCCTTCATTCTTTGTGGAATTACAGGCTTTTGCAATACATGTCATTCCCACCAACACGTTACCCAAGGTTTCCCCCACCCCACCTCTGTACATCAGTAAACCTTGTGTATTCCCACCAGAGCAGGGTTAACAATATTAGTGGCATCACAACCATCAAGAAAAGGACAAATTTCTATACAAGATTTTTTTGCAAAAGTTGCAACAGGATTAGTGCATTACGACAGAACCGAGAGAAAAGAAGAGTTGGCATGCTGGAGTCCAACACAAAGAAAGACAACAGGCAGCTCGTTGGATGTACTATATTGACAAGATACTGATTGGTTACATGGAGAAACATACAATACAAAATACAGAAGAAACCAGTTTTTGCTTCCCTCTGCCCCACCCCAAATACTCATCGTTGATTTGGTCAATAAGTGGCCCAAGAGCCGGAGTTTGTCTCTAATGCTACAGTTTAGTGGTTGTTCTGGGCACATCGTACGGGATCAGCCTCAGCTCTTACAGACAGGGAACTTTAAACACGTGTCCCAATATCCCTTTGTTTCCCATAGTGAACTACAGTGCTGTGGGACCTGGCTGCTGCTGGCCTCACCTGCGGGACGGCCACGCTGGCTGGGCAGACACCAGCTCCTGCATCCACCACCACCAGGAAGAGGGAAGAGCAGAAGTTCATATATTAAAAAAGTGACTTAAGACTTAGAATTGAATTAGTATTTGTACAGAAAGGTGCAGGTGGAAGAACTCCCTCCAGCCTATGATCAGAAAGGGATGGAGAATCACGGCGGCGCCAGCAGCAGCCGCCCTACGGTAAGTGCGATCGTTAGCGTGGGTTCCAGTCACTGCTCCAAGGGCTCGTGGGCTGCAGCAGCTGCTCAGTTGCTGCAGCACTGGCTTCTGCTGGGCTGGCTGCTCTCCTGAAGGTCCACCACCCGATTCCTGCCCGGGCCACCAGGAGCGTTCTGGGGTTCGTTTTTTGGCAGTTTCTTGGCTAGGAAGGAATGGGATTGTTAGCAGGGTTGTCCAGAGAGGTCAACTGTCACAGACACTTTTTATGAAAAATCCTTTTGTTCTCCTGAGAAACTGAGAGGCCTCAGAAACAAAATGTAAACAATAATTATCTGCTGCTGTGGAATGCAACAGGTGCATCTGGGATTGGTCTCATGTGGTTGTTTTTAATTAATGGCCAATCACAGTCCGGCTGTCTTGGACTGTCTAGTCAGTCACAAAATTTTATAATCATTCCATTCCTCTCAAGTCTTCTGATGAAATCATTTCTTCTATTCTTTTAGTATAGTTATAATATATCCTTTACTTTTAATATAATATATATCATAAAATAATAAATCAGCCTTCTGAAACATGGAGTCAAGATTCTCATCTCTGCCCTTGTCCTGGGACCCCTGCAAACACCACCACAGCCAACTTCCTCACACTGTGCACCCCAGGCTGGGTGCAGCCCGCTCCAGCCTGAGCCCTCACTGCCAACAGTTTGGGACAGCACAAACATGCAGTTTGCCACCCCTTCCTCAGCTCTGGCTGCCATCAGACCTGCTCCCACCTCCATCACCACCCCAGACTCAGGGAACCTTTGCAAGGCCAAGGCTGCACACACTCAGGGAATGACCCATCACACCAGCGTGGCAAACTGCCCCAGTAAGAGCCAGCAGCCCTGGCTGACACAGGACCCTCCTGGGCTGCAGTGCTGGCACTCAGAGCTGCCCCAGCCCCACACCAGGCCGTACCTATTGCCATGAAGATTTCATTCACATTCATCGCTGTCTTCGCTGACGTCTCCATGAACAGCAAGCTGTTGTCATCTGCATATGTCTGTGCATCCTACAAACAATCACATCAGAGTGCTAAAAGCAGCCTGGCAGGAGGCCTGAGCAGACTTTATGCACTTCACTTATGTCAACACACCAACTGCTGGAGAAACACTGTGTCCCACCCTGGGCCAGAAATTCCCTCCCTTGTCCCTGCTCCCACCTGGCCTGGACAACCCAGGGACATGCTCCAGCAGCAGCCAGTGTCCCACAGCTGGGCTGGGGCACAGCCTGACTGAGCCACACAGCACCTGGGAGTTGGGTCAGCTGGCAGTGTGCCCCCCATTGCAAGGGCACCACGAGCAATCCTGTGCAAGGGCTGGGTAAGAACCTCTCCTGAGCGCTTGCCTCAGATGAGGTAAGAGCTGTGAAGAGCAGAGAACAAGCTGGGAGTGATTCCTCATGTGTCTCATACCCAGAAGATGCTGTTTCATACCCTGCAGACATCCCCACATGAGTAAGGCAGCAAAGGAGGATGAGGACAGAAGCTTGTGCTCTGTGGGCCTCCTCCTCCACATTCACAAGGACTTTCACCAGCCAGGGCCACATGTGTTGTTACAGAAGCAAGGGCACAGACCCTGCTCAGTGGCATCCTGCAGTCCTCAGCACAAAACTTCACTTTCATTCTCCCTCAAATCACATTTTCCATAGCTGCCACCTCCCTCACTTAAGCAAATATATCCATTCCTGACCTGCTAGGGTAACAACTTCTCTGGATTCTCACTCACCTGGAAGTCCACAGCTCTCTTGTTAGCAAGGTCTGCCTTGTTTCCTGCTAGTGCAATTACAATATTGGGGCTAGCCTGCCTCTGCAACTCTTTCACCCAGTTCTTGGCTCGTACAAATGTGTCCTGGAAGCAAACAGGAGGCAGCAGTCAGGAAGGGCAGCCATGTAGGAATCCAGAGGGCAGATATGATTAGAACAAGGCTTTCCTGTGAGAGGAGTCCTGCCTCTGCAGCACTTGGCAGCAGGATCCTTTACCAGCTCCCAGCCTTGGCCGGAGCTGAGGAAGAGGCCGTGAGCAGTTTTCAAGAACTTGGCAGCCCCAGCCAGGTACCTGCAGGGCTCTGACCAGGACACAGCCCCAGGGAGCAGCCCCTGGCACAGGGAGAAACCCCTGGCAGCCGCCCAGCCCTGCCCAGACTCACTGTGTTGGTGATGTCGTAGACCACGATGGCAGCCTGGGCCCCCCGGTAGTACATGGGGGCCAGGCTGTGGTATCGCTCCTGCCCCGCCGTGTCCCAGATCTCAAACTTCACCGTTGTGTCATCCAGACACACTGTCTGTGTGAGGAAGGCAGCTGCAAGAGAAGGGGGTTTGCCTCAGCTCCAGCAGGGCCCCTCAGAGCAGCTCTGCTGCCACATGGGAGCGAGCTGAGCCCTGGAGGGGCCGGTGCCACTCGTTGTGGCAGCTGCAGCTCTGCTGTGTCACAACCCAGAACTGTCACACAGTGACAGGAAGGTGGCTCAGAGGGCCCAGGCAGCAGCCAGCCCCTGGAGCATCCACAGTGCCAGACCCTCCCAGCAGCCCTGACAGGGATCACACAGCCTGTGGCACCACCAAGATCAGACCTGGGGAGCACCAACAACAGCACCAAACTCAGCCCGCTTACACCACACAGCCCAGTTTAGTAACTGGTTGCTGTCCCAGTGAGTCTAACACCACATGTTACACCCAGCACAGAGGCACAGACACAGACTGAGGCAGAGCACAGCCCTCCACAGAGACATTAGGCCCTGCTTGCCAGGAAACCACACTTTGAGCTGTGCTTGCTCCCTGCACAGGTGACAGAGAAACAACTCAAGCCTTTTCTCAGGACGCCCCCAAGTTTTGCTGCTCAGAGATCCATGTGCCAACCAGCCTTTGGTTGATTGGTGACACCTTGCTAATGATTACAAGCTAATAAACTACTGGACCTGAAAGCACTGTGAAAGCAGTGAACAGAATCAGGCTAGAAACAGCCCCAAAATCCCAGGTCATGGTCTGAAAAGATAATTAAGGGCCATAAACCAAGCTAAAGGCCTCAGTACCAATTAGAAGCTGAGGCACTGGAAACAAAGCCTCAGAGGCAAAGTGTGGGGTTGCCATAGCGTTATTCTCTGCTGCGCTGATCATTACACCAACAAACAAATTGTGAACCAAGAGTTAAAGCATTAACTGTTTGGCTCTATTTATAGCAAAAATCCAAACCAAAATAGCCAGTCTTGTTCCTGACACCCCAGACTGCCCCAGCAAGGTCAGCACCTCCTGGAGCTGGCACTCACCTCCAATTGTGCTCTCCTGGTACTCGTGGAACTGCCCCTTGACGAAGCGCAGGACCAGGCTGGACTTCCCCACCGCTGACTCTCCCAGGAGAACAAGTTTGAACTGGCAGATTTTGTTCCCAGCAGCTGGTCCATTCGGTCGGGCAGCTCCACCTCGACCTGCCATCGTGGTGGTCTAAGTGCAGGAGTGCCTGGAGTTAAGGATGCTGCAGGTTCTCCACCTGTAGGCAGGTTGCAACTGGAAGAGGAGGTCAGGGTTAGTGACAGGCTCAAGGGACCAGCTGTACCAGTTCTAGAGGGTTGGTTTGATCTGCAGCCACCATCAGCACACACTGGTGGTGGTTCCTTCCCACAGAGCAGTTCCTGCCAGGCAGCAGCCCCTGCAGCAGGATCTCAGCCTGCAGAGCCTCCCTGGAAAAGAGGTAATGGTGATACAAGCTCTCCTCCCCACCAGTGGGCCCTCCAGCACTTCCACCCTGTGTGGATGCTGCACACACCTTGCTGGGGTGAGGCAGGTAAGGAGCACCCAGCACACAATGGGTGTTACTAGAGCTTTGTCTACTCAAACAGCAATTACTCAGTTCACAGAGGTACCTGAGCCTGACCTTTAGCTCCCTCCTCCTTTCCTGAGTTCACAAGGAAGCAACTTCAGACTGGGAATGCTGTGCAGAGCCATCCCAGTGCCACAGAGGCAGGAGGCAGCTCTGCAGGTCACGAGGCACTTGGACAAAAGGAATTTCCAGAGCTGTCTGTTTGTCCTGAGGCACTTGCACCACAACATTCTGCACCTCCCAGAGGTTCCAAGGATGGCCCTGGAGCCAGGCAGGTGGGCTGCTACAGGGGAGGCACCTGACAGCAGCTGCTCTCTGGGCACAGGCTGTGCCCTCAGGGGCTGACAGCAGCTCCCCTCCCATTCCTGCAGCACACCAGGAATTCCCACACCCACCCCAGTGCCTCTGCACCCTTATCCCACAGCACTCCAGGTCACCAGGCTACTGCTCCTCACATGGACTGCTCAAAGCCAGCATGGACAGACAGCATCCCCTGCGATCAGCACTGCCAAACACTCCCCAGCACCAACCTCCAGAGTGTTGCAGAAGCACAAAACCATGGCAGGAACAGCAGGACAAGCTGATCTACATCCAGAGTTTTCCACAAGTGAATCCCAAGGCCTCCCTAAGCACTGAGCTCTGCTGCCTGCAGAGAACAGGAATGCTTTCCAAGTACACAGTTACAGATTTAGGCACATTTCCTGTAGCCTTCACAACTCCCACTTCCCTGTGGATGATAAATGCTACAGCTGACTGCATCTGCTGTGGATCACCACTTTCCCTTCTACTCTCCTAAATCAGGCTGTTTGTTGAAAGAAAATGCCCCAAAAGCCAATTTCTCCTCATCCTGAAAGTACTCCCAAAGAAACTCTGCACATCCTGCATTTTCTCAGCAATTAGATACCCATGAATGAGAAGTTTCAAAGAGGTCAAACCGGAGCAAACTGTGAACAAAGCTCAAGCCTCCTCAGCACAGAGAAGAGCTTCAAACAGCTGCTTTCCAGGGCAAGGCCTGTCCAGCTGTGACTGCTTGAGGTTACTTTAACTATGCCTCAAGTTTAAACAATCCCACAGCTTGACAGGGAACCTGCAGCCATTTCAGAGCTACTCTGCAGCCTGTGAGTGCCAGCAGCTGGAGAAGCCAGCAGCTTACACAACACAAAGCACTTGAGCATACACTGACCTAGAGACATCTCACCTCAAATTGCTCTGAGCAGGAGGCTGTCACACAGCAGCTGGTAAACTGGTACCACTCACCAGACCTGGCAGGTAGGACAGAAACAGGGGAGTAAAACTTCTGAGTGCTGTGGGGTGTTTTAGGAGCCAGAGCTGTGAAGCCATTGCTCTGAGTGCCAGTGTAGGGTTAAGCAGTGAAGATATTGCAATTCAGAGCTGGGTCCTTGCAAGCAGCACAGTCAGGACTCCTCTTCTGAGGAAGGGCAAACACTGTTTGACAGGATGAGAAAGTTTGGTATCAAACATACCAACAACTGGCTTTGCTGGACAGTGGGGCTGCAGCAGGGCTTGCTCTGGCCAGGAGCAGCTTGGTCACCACCACCTTCAAGAGGCTGAGCAGCAGCTCTGCATCTCTACCAGCCTGAAGAGGCTTCCACCTTTTAGGGTTTCCCCTCTAACAGAGCTGGGAAGGGAACAGCTTTGGTTTAACCAGTGCCACAGTGGCAGGAGGCAGCTCTGCAGGTCATGAGGCACTTGGACAAAAGGAATTTCTAGAGCTGTCTGTATTTATAACTCCCTGGGCAGTCTATCAGCTCCACTGCTGCTCCAGAGCAACACCGTGCACAAACACTGTGTGAAATCACAGTGTGCCTGAGTTATGGCCTCCTGAAATGTGATAGTGGTGATTCCCAGAGCAAAGCAAGGAAATGAGCTTGTTGACATCCTCAAGTCTTAGCCTGACCTATATTTCACAGAACTTGATGCATTTTGCCATCTGCTTGTGCTACAGGAGCTCCAACAGAATGAGGTGAGCACATCTGTGTTGAGCTCACTGTGGACAGCCACTGGGCAGTGCAGGCAGAGCAGCAGAGCTGCTCCAGTTATGGAGAACCAGATGATCATCTAAGGGTGGTCTGATGCTTGGATACAAGATTACACAAGATTATATGGCTTCATGTTCACATGAGAAGTTGCCAGATCTTTCAGGTGTTTGAAGTGGAATTTAGAGACCCTAACTGGTGGCCTTGGGCTAAGGACACAGCCAAGACCTGGACAACCAGCTGATGGTCACAGGAGGAAGCAAATAACCCAAGAAAGTGCCACCAGTGCTGCAGACAGCAAAAGCACACTCCCTGGCAGGACAGGAACTTTCTGCCAACATGTCTGAGGATTCCAGTCAGGCAGAACTCAGCTCTGCAGAGGCAGCAGGCAGATCTTGATGCATTTTGCCATCTGCTTGTGCTACACAATGAGGTGAGCACATCTGTGTTGAGCTCACTGTGGACAGCCACTGGTCAGTGCAAGCAGAGCTGCTCCAGTTGTGGAGAACCAGATCATCATCTAAGGGTGGTCTGATGCTTATATGGCCTCATGTTCACATGAGAAGTTGCCAGATCTTTCAGGTGTTTGAGTGGAATTTAGAGACCCTAGCTGGTCACTGGAGGCTGCTGCACTCCCTGCCTGCCCAAGTGCAAGAGCATTCTCCATGAGCTCCATAACCCTCAGCCAAGACCTGGAGGAGCAGCTGATGGTCACAGGAGGAAGCCAATTGCCACCAATGCTGCAGACAGCAAGCACACTCCCTGGCAGGACAGGAACTTTCTGCCAACATGTTTGAGGATTCCAGAGAACTCAGCTCTGCAGAGGCAGCTGAAGTGCACAGCCTGAAGCTGTGCTGGATCAGCCCACACCCACCATGGACACTGACCTGAGGAACAGGCACTGCTTCCTGCTGTGTGAAGCCATTTCTGTCTGCTCATCCTCCCACCTCTCCCAGCAGAGGATTGGGCACTCACCCTCCCTGCTCCCCACGAGAACCCTGACACTGGAGCCACGGGTCAGGCAGACCAAAATAACCACAGCAGCACCACACAGACAAGGGAAAGCAGCTGAAACCCCAGCTTGTCATGCTAATTCAAGCTGTCAAGGCCGTGAAAAGGAAGGGGTACTCATGTAATCAAGATTTACAGGCATTAATTTCCCTCCTAGTTTCTTTTAACTAGGGAAACCCAGCAGCTGGGAGATCACAACTGCATTTCAAGCCATGAAAAGGCTCTTGCTGTTTGTTTACCTGCCCTACCCACCTCCTGCTCACTGAAGCACACACAGGAGCTCTGCATCCCACAGCACAAGCACTGATTTTTTTTTTTATTGTGAACTCTTAGCATAGTTTCTTGTTTGCTTTGAGATCAAAGCCAAGTACCAATTCCTGATGCTGTCCCACAGGTGAGAGCTCCAGGTCTATCACTTCTGCAGTTTGTGCTCCTCCAAGCCCTCCTCTGCCTGCCAGGGTTTGCTGGAGGGGGCTGTACACAGCCAGGAATATTAAATTCAAGAATCTGAGTGCCCTAAATGAGAAAGCACATGCCATGGCTGCTGCACTCCCTGCCTGCCCAAGTGCAAGAGCATTCTCCATGAGCTCCATAACTGGAATAGCACCAGAGCTCATTTCAAACAAACCCACCCAGGACAAGGACACAAATCTCCATATGGGAATTACTGTCAGATCCCCATGTTAACCCCTGCAGGAAGCTGCTCACTTAAGGTGTCAGAAGTTAGAGAATCTGATATTTTTGCCCTGTGTTCACCCAGTAGCAAAAACTACTCTGAAAGCTGAGGATATTTAGAAACCCAATCCTGAAGACTCTGGTTACCCAAACTGCTGCTGCTCTCAGCTATGCAAGGAGTTGCTTCACTGGAGATTTGCTGGCTCAGAACCAAAATACTCAAGACAAAAGCCCCAGTGAAGTATTTATCTCGTTAAATAGCTGACAGTGTTACATGAATTCCTTGGCAAAGGAAGCCCTGAAGTTACCCAGTGGTTTTGCTTCACCTCACACTGCACAGGGAACTGGCCCAGGGCTGCAGATCAGCTTCAGGACATGGAGTCAGGAGAATCTGCACAAGCAGGACCAGCAGAAAGGAAGTGTGGGTCCCACCAGAGCCACACACAGACCACACTAGCCTAGGCTAGCACAGCAGCATGGAACATCAACCTAATATTCCAACCCATCAATATGATTAATCAGAACAAACCTCCTGAGCCTGACTGCAGGAGGGCCCAGGCTGCAGAGAAAGGAGGAACAGACCCAGCTGTTACAGAGGAGAAGAACCAGGAAACATTTAACCTACAGAGCTCAGTCCCATCAGTCCCAGATCCAACCAGGCTCAGGCTTTACCTGCTGGCCCCACTCCAAGAGTGCATGAGTTTCAATACTCCACATTTCCACAGAAAATACTCTGCTTTTCCACAGAAAATACTCCCTGCTTTTCCACAGACAATCCTCTCTGCCCTTCCACCTTCTCCCTCTCCAAAGAAGGAGCCCTCAGAGCCCTGACCAGCAAGGACACAGTCTGGAGCTCAGGAATGCTCTGAGCTGGGCCACTCTCCCCTTCAGCTGGCAGGAGCTGCACCACAGCCCTGAAGTGCAGATTCACAGACCCAAATCAGCTCAGGCAGCACTTTGAGCAGCACTCCCATGGCTGTGACTAACTTATGACAGTGTAACAACTTCTCTGTGCAGTCCCACGTCCGAGACTCACAGAGACTTGGACACGCTCACTTTAATTCAGAGGTAAATAGGATTTCAACTCCAAAGCTGAGCTATTCATCCAGCTACAAACCTGAACTGGTACCATCTCCTTCCCATGCTGTTGATACACACATCTGTTTCCTGACATTTGCACATCCACAGCCTCTGGAGCAGCCCCAGCAGCCAGCCAGCTGTTTTCCAAAGCAGCTTTTCCAAAACAACTCCATCCCCTGAGATTTCAAGGCCACCACCCTGCTGTGACCATCCCTCCAGCACAGACTTCTGAGGAAGAGTTTTACATCACCTCCATCTCCCACCAGCTGCCCACTGGGTCCCTCACCCACTTCCAGTTATCCTTTGCACAGGATCAGTTCCTGGATGCAGCCTGGACGGACTCAAATGCAACAAAAGCATCAAGGTTTTAATTCTTCAGCAAAAGTTGTTTAACTCCTGTTCAGATGCCCTCAACAGACACAGCTTCACTTGGAGCAGACACTCAGCATGCCCTGGATAGCACCCACTATTCAGTCAGCAAGAAGGCAACATCAGCAATGCAAAGCAGCAAACTGCCACCTGCACTGCAAAGAATCTGTGACCTTCAGAATATCTTTCCCAGACTGCACAAAGATCTCCTGCCTCAAGCAGCTCCTTATTTGGAGTGCTACCAAACCAAAGCAAACATGAAAACCAGTGTTTTCTTATCTGTTTATGCAGAGTTGCTCCAGCAGCTCATTCCCGTGCTCCAAGGGAGGACAGCATTCCCCCCAGAGCTCAGATGAATTTTGTACCTCCCCAGTACTGTCACATCCAGGAAGGGTTCCTGTTTCTGGCCACTGTCTAAGTGTTTTCAGTGTAATTCTGACAACTTCTCAGGACTTGCATAAGAGGCTGCAAACTTCATACCCCAAGGGAAGAAAACAGCTGACTCCAACATTTCTACATTCTATCCTCTTTTAAGTCTGCTGACAGGAATACTCTGGGCTACACCCACTTCATTAGAAGCGTTCCCATTTCATTTCCTGTGTCTGAAAGCGCTTGGATTCCTTCCCCCTCCCTCCTCAGGGAGATGCCATGGCCACCATGCACAACTGTGCAGCAGCTGAAGAACTCTGGATGCAGAGCTGGTGGCTGGCAGGGCCCAGAGGAACCCTGGAGCTGATGATCCCTGTTGAGATGCAGAAGGGCTTTGCTGGGATGGAGATAATCCCACATCTCAGCACAACAACTTGGCCAAGCACACACACACATCACCAAACAGTTCCTTCACACACTGCCCAGCTGTCCAACTGGCTGGGAAATCTAAAAATCGGTGAAATCTCAAAACCACTACACCAACACATCACTGGTTTCACAGGAAAGCAAAATAATCTACCAATGCCAAACTAGACAAATGGTTTATCTCACTAGATTCGTACCCACATGCCAAGCCAGCCTTTCCCTCCTGCTCTCCAGTAACTCAAACCCTTCCAGGAGTCCATCTCACCTTGCCTGGCTTGTTCCATCACGTGGAGAGGCATCAGCACCCCTTAAAGAGCCTACAGAGACCCCTCACTGCCTGCACAACCTACAATCAAATGTCAGCTAAATCAGCCAGAGCATCTTAGCAGAGAAGGCCACCCCAGAAGCAGATTCTTAGTCTGAAGGTGTTGACTGTTGCAGCAAACTGTTGTGATTCATGAGGGGTCTGAGGTGATTTCAACACTGAGACCCAGCTATGACCCCAAACATTCCTGTCCTTGAGCTCCCAGATCCAGCCAGGCTCGTGCTTTACCTGCTTGCCTCACTCCAGGAATGCACCTACAGCTACAATCCTGAATTCTTAGCCCTTTTCAGACACAGTTCTTTCACCTCATTACCCTAGGTGAGCTGGAAAGAAATATAAAATACTTTCAGAGTCAAGGCAGAGTGGACATCAGTGGGTAATTGCAGGAAGCACCCTCAGACTCCATGGCAAGTCAAGACAATGGACTGAGTTGGCTTTTTTGGCCCCAGCCAAGGCTCAGAGGTGGCTCAGGAGCCCCAGCAGAGCACAGGCCCAGTGTGAGGCTGTAAACAGGGCAGCTCAAGTGTGCTGACCCTCCACACAAAAAGCTAAGAATAGCAGATGCAAGTTGTTCCACGGCAGACTTAAAATAGTCCCTCGCCATGTTCTCCTCCCCAGCCTCCCTGCAGGACTGAAAACAGCCAAGGTCAGAGCTCCAGCAGCCACATCCCAGCTAAAGCTCAGCTGGGCTGGGGTCAGAGCTGGGCTGGGCTCCCTGCAGCTCCCAGCCCCAGGAGCTCTGAGCATCACCAGGAACAAGGTCTGAGCAGTTTTCCCCAGGATTTAGCAGGGCAAACCTGTTGCTCACACTCCTGGTGCAATCCCAGCAGGATCCAGCTCACACAGCAGGGTCTGTCCTGCTGTGACAGAGCTCCAAGCACAGCCTTGCTGGAGATTCCCTTACAGACAAGGCACAAAATGTCCTGTGGGCATTTCAGGGCCCTCCAGCCCCATGGGTTTCCCTTCAGAAGGGCCCTGGAGGGGCACAGGGCTGGGTTTGGCACCAGAAGTGACCCAGGACAGGCTCCCTGGAGCATTTGCACAAAGCAAGCCACCTCCCTCACCTCAGTTCATGGAACCCAGCTGGGCCTCCTGGAGCTTCTATTCCCCCCTCAGGGGCTGATGAGCTACAAAAACACAATCCCACCATAAAACCCCGTCTGTGCCGGCACCACAGCTTCCCCAACCCCATCCAACTCCCACTCAGCCACGGCTGTGACAGGCGGGAACCGGGACACAACCCCCCGGTACCAGCTGCCGGTGCTCGGTCCCGCTGTGCCGGGAGCCGCTCCTGCTCACGGGAGGAGCCCGACCCGAGCACCCACAGCGCCGCCGGGACGCCTTCCCCGAGCCGGGCACGGTGCCCCGGGCTCCCCGGGCTCCCGTTCCCGCTCAGCACAGCCCGGTACCGCCAGGCCGGAGCTGCCGCTGCCCCGCCTCGCACCGCACGCAGGGCCCCGCTAGGCCGGCGCACGGCGAGGGTTCCCGGCGCCCTGAGCCCCCGCCCAGCCGGCGGCGCCGCCCGTCCGCTCCAGCCCCGGCACAGCCCCACCCGGTACGGCGGCGCCACCGAGCCCCCGCTCCGCTCCCGCCACGGGGCCCCCCAAGCGGCGGGGCCCGGCTGCCGTCCTCCGCCGGGGGAGATCCCGGGGAAGGCGTCCGACCCTCGGGCTGGGCTCGGTCGCCTCGGAGCGAAAGGCGAGGGCGCGGCCGCACTCACCGCCCGCAGCGCCGCTCCCGCCGGTGCGTCTCGCAGGCCCCGGCCCTCACTTCCGCCTTTGCCCGTTCCGCTTCCGGGACCGACCACCCCTTCCGCCCCCCGCTCGCCGCCCACAGGCAGGCGCAGCTGTCAATCACTCGCTCCCGCCCCGCCCTTTGGGTGCGCTATGCTTGACGTCATGGCGCTCCGCGGGGGCTGCTGGGAGTTGTAGTCCGGAGGTGTCCCGGTGAGACCGGCCCCGTGAGGGAATCGGGGGGGCCCGGACAGGGTGGGGCGGAGGCGGACGGAGACTGAGCGGAGCCGGGGCTGGAAAAATAGAGCCTTTATTTCTCGGTGCTGCGGGGAGCGTGGGAGAGGCGGGGCGGAACAACACGAACTACAGCCGCGGAGGGGCGGCAGCGGCCGCGACCCCCGGGCAAACCGGAGACCCCACCGGAGACCCGTACACTGCCCCGCCACGTCCCACAGCCCCGGGAGACCCGAGCGGGGCTGCATAAAAGGCCCGGAGGGCCAAGAGTATAAAACCGTATCAAAATCCTTGCGTGTGTCCGGAAGGCGGCGTCCCGGGGGGCTCCGGGGGCACGGACCCCCAGCAGAGTCACCCGGAGCGGAGAGCCCCGGTGATCCCCGGGCAGGGTCACCTGGAGCGGAGAGCCCCGGTAACCCCCGGGGACACGGACCCCGGGCAGGGTCACCCGGAGCGGAGAGCCCCGGTAACCCCCAGGAGCACGGACCCCCGGCAGACTCTCCCGGAGCGGAGAGCCCCGGTGATCCCCGGGAGCACGGATCCCCGGGGAGGCTCCCGCCGGTGCCCGCGGGGTCAGTGCGAGCTGGTGGAACCGGAGCGCGGCTGCGGGCGGGCGCGACACCAAGCGCCGGCCGAGCAACCGGGGAAGGAGCGGGCGGAGCGCGGCGGCAGCGGCGGCGGCGGCGGCGGCTGCGAGTCCGAGCCCCGGCGGGGGTCGGGGCCGTCCCCTCGCGGCGGGCGCGGCCCCTCGGTGCCCAGCCCGGGGTGCAGGGCGGCGGCGTGGGCAGAGCGGCTGCGGACCGGGCAGCGCTTGGCCCGGGGGCTGCCGGTGGGCGAGCTGAGCGAGCTGGGCGGCACCGGCGGCGAGGCGGGCACCGGGACGGCGGCGGGCAGGCGGCAGGGACAGGCAGGCGGGTGCGGGGTGCCCAGGTGAGCCTTGAGCAGCTCCATCATGCTCTGCAGCTGCCGGCTGAGGTGAGAAACCTCCTGGTTGAGGTGGTTGATCTGCAAGAGGACACACAGCAGTGAGCAGCGGCCGATGCCCGCGGGGTTTTTGGGGACATGCACCCACCTGTGGTCCCCAGCACACCTCCTGGTTGAGCCTGCTGATGTTCTGCTTTATCTGCTCTGCCTCCATCACCAGGGCTGGGCCGCCGGGGTCAGTCCCTGCTGGGGAGGATGCAGACAGAGGTGGGATGCCGTGCCAACCCCTAGGGCTGGTACTTTGGCCTTGCCCAGCAGGGAAGCTCAGCCTGATCATAGGAAGTGTCAGAACTCAGTGCATTCCTTTGGGTGTCCAGAGTTGCCAAGGACCCCACCAGAGACCCTGGCACGCAGCCCAGAACACCTGGGGATTTGATTTTGACCCCTGGAGCGGGTTACCAACTTTGTATGAGGACCTGAAAGTCACACAGGTTTGAATAGTGTAATAACAAGATGATCACAGGGTGAAGATGTAGATTTTGGGATTTTTGGTATGGAGGTTAGGGGGACAAGATGGAGGAACTTGGGCATGTCCAGCCTTTCTTCTTCTTGTTCTCCATTTTCTGCAGTGATGTTGGCACTTTGGGATTGGTTTAGAGTAGAAGTGCACTGTCTGGCATGGGTGATAGGTATTGGGAATTAAGTGTAGATATGTTGTACATGGTTTGTGGTGCAGAGGGACAACACCACCTCAGGGGCGGTCAGAGTGCCTGTGGCTGCCCTGCTGAGCAGATCTCAGCTGGGCAGAAAGAAAATTTTATAGATAAGAATGAATAAACAACCTCAAGACCGAAAACTGAAGAGTCCAGACTCGTTCTTCAGCCGAAGCAGAGTCACCCTGCACATCCTGGGGCAGCAATTAACAACAGCAAACCCGAGAAGGATGGAGTGCCCTGCTAAGCTTGACATGGAAGAGTAGGCCTAGGTTAAGGTCTGCTAAGGAGAATGGAAGGGGCAGTGGGGTTCAGATTGAGATTGCTAGAAGCAAGGCTGGTATTGGGGTTGCAATGAATAAGATTGGGGAGGATGTTGATGGTCAAATAGGCTCTTTGATAAATAGTTTTACTCCATCTGCTAGAGGTTGTAGGAGCCCGAAAGGGCCAATAATGTTTGGGCCCTTTCGGCCTTGTATGTAGCTGAGGATTTTGCACTCTACTAGCATGAGGAAGGCTGCTGCAATTCAGATTGGAAGGGCACAGGAGAGGGCTGTGATGAGGTTGATTAAGAGAGGGGAGTTAGTCATGAGAGATGATTTGAGTTAAGCTAGGGAGAGGGTTTGAGCCTCCGAGTTAAATGAACCTACTACACTCCTGGCAGTACCTGAGCTGGGGGAGTCCCTTGCCGCACTCAGTGGCTCCATGCTGAAGCAGAAGGTTTGTGACTCCGAAGTGCCTCCGTTGTCTTCAATGCCATCCACGACCCTGGAGCAGGAGGGGGTGAGGGCTGCCCCGTGTCACCCCCTCTGTGCCAGCACCTGGGCAGCCTGGCTGGCAGGGATAACCCACCCGCACATCCCCGCCTACCTGGGGCTGAGGTCGGGCGGGCCGTACGAGTGCAGGGAGGGGATGAGCAGCTTGGCCGGCCTCCTGCCCGCACCGCCGCCCCTCTCCAGCCGCCGGCTGTCCCTCCGGCACTGCGGAGAGGGGCTGCGGCTGCCGCGGGCCGGGGAGGGGCAGCTGTGCCGCAGGGCTGAGACCTGGCACAGCTCATCGCCCAGGAGGCTGCTCAGGGAACCGCGCCGCACCGAGCTGCTCAGAGCCGGCAGCAGCAGCTTGCGGCGGGAGCTGCTGGCAGGGGACTGCTGGAAAACCTCGTCGGGCTCCTCCTCATCCTCCACGATGGAGGGAAGGGGCTTCTCCGGGGCAGCGCCGCTCTCCGGACGAGGCTGCAGGAGGGGAGGAGGTCAGGACTTGTTGCGTTGTGATTTCAGGGTCTCTACCCTGATAATTCCCTGCCAGGTGTGTCAGTCACCTCTCCTTTCCCCTCCCAGCACTGTCTGGCAGTCCTGGCATTCCAGAAGGCATCGAGTGATTGACAGATTCAGAGATGCCCTCTACCCCTGGGGACACTGGGCCATCCAGATGTCCTTTGTCCCTTGTACCTGCTTGGTGGCTCCCTGCCCCTTCCCTGCCCCTCTCCCCAGGGTTCAAAGGAACAGCAACCACGGGCTCAGGGAGTTCTATTGGAGCTGGTGCTGGATTCAGAGGCCTGTGGGCCAGAATAAAGCTCTGGATCCAAACCCTCCATCAGAACCGACTCCTTTCCTTCACCATCACCTTAAAGCTTCTCCACCAGAGGTAACCCCAAGGAGCAGCCCCTGTTATGGGGGGAAGCTCCATCCCACCACCACCAGAGCTCCTGCAGGCCTGGACTTGTCCCCATGTGCCCAACTGCAGCACCCAGGCAGGCAAAAGTGTCTGTGGGGTGAAACACCACACACCCAGCCAGCCAAAAGTGTCCCTGGGGTGAAACACCACACACCCAGCCGGCCAAAAGTGTCCCTGGGGTGAAACACCACAGTGCCGCTATTTGGTTCAGCAGCAAGGCCAGACAAGCTCAGGCATGTCCTGATGGCTATATTGGTAATATTCCAATAAGGACTGGTCCCAGCCACAGCCACCCTTGCCCCATCCTCCCCCACGGCCTCGGCGAGGGACGAACCTGTGGCACCTGCGGCAGCCTCGGGGACCGGGAGTAGCGGCAGAGCCCCTGCAGGGAGAGCAGACAGTGCCAGCTGAGCAGCAGGAGAGAGCCCCTGCACAGCCCCTGCACAGCCCCTGCACAGCCCCTGCACGGCTCCTGCACAGCCCCTGCACAGCCCCTGCACAGCCCCTACACAGCCCCTGCACGGCCCCTACACAGCCCCTGCACAGGGGGATCACAGCTCCTGCACAGCCCCTGCACAGCCCCTGCACGGCCCCTGCACAGCTCCTGCACAGGGGGATCACAGCTCCTGCACAGCCCCTGCACAGCCCCTGCACGGCCCCTGCACAGCTCCTGCACAGGGGGATCACAGCTCCTGCACAGCCCCTGCACAGCCCCTGCACAGCCCCTGCACAGCCCCTGCACAGCCCCTGCACGGCCCCTACACAGCCCCTGCACGGCTCCTGCACGGCCCCTGCATGGCCCCTGCACAGCCCCTACACAGCCCCTGCACAGCCCCTGCACGGCCCCTGCATGGCCCCTACACAGCCCCTACACAGCCCCTGCACGGCCCCTGCACAGCCCCTACACAGCCCCTGCACACCGGGAGCACAGCCCCCGCACAGCCCTCCCACACCACCACAGAGGGAAACTGGGTACCAGGGAGATGCTCCAGAGGAGCTCCAAGCCTCTCTCAGCAGAGCTGGGGGAGGTAGAGTGCAGCAGAGCCATTTCTGCAGCAGAACATCCCCCCTGGAGCCATCAGCATGACTAAACCCAGCTGCGTGCTTCACTCCAGGGGGCTTTGCCTTGGCTATCTGTCCAGTTCTCTCCAACCCCATTTCCAGGCCTTCCATCTGCCTCATCCTCCTGCACGGCAAAGGCTCTCTCTGCCAATTCCCTGGGTCGCACAGAGCCAGGACAGGACATACCTGCGTGCCAGGGTGGCAGAGCTGCAGCCCCTTCCCCAGCCTTGCACCCTGAGTGCACAGACTGCCCTTCCACGGCCGTGCCCAGCCCCAGGGCTGCGAGCACAGCAAGGGGCAGAGCAGGGGGACACGCACCCACCTCCATCTCGCTGCCCTCGCGCAGGTTGAAGGTCAGGTCCTGGTGGATGTCAGCTGTGAACTTGCTGGCGTACTCGGGGTAGAGCTGCAGCACCTCACAGAGCCCCCGCAGGCCGATGTGCTGAAGGTCGCAGTAGGTCAGAGCCT